TTATATTTTATAAATATTTGAATTATTTTATTTAAAAAATAATCAATTTAGTTGTTTACTATTTTTTTGAATCTCTAAACAAATAAATTAGAAAGAATAAATATACATATAATATGTATATATATAAATACATTTTGAGGGTCAATTTTGTCATTTCAAGTCTAAAAAATCAGCTAGGGGGGATTCTGCCTTTGACTAAATTTCACAGGGGGGTTTTTGCTAGTTTATTTATCACAGGGGGGTTTTTGCTATTTCGAGATAACACAGGGGTAGTTTTTGCAGTTTACTCTATATATATATATATATATACCCGGTTCATCTCTCCTTTCTACAATGCTTTCTGTTCTCTTTCGATTTTTGAATATCTAAATCAATTACCGTTCTTCCTCTACTCCCGTAAAGGTACCTTCTTTCGTTTTTGTTCTTATTTTATTTTTGTTCTTGTTTTATTTTTCTTCGATATATATTGTTTATAATTTTGATGTAATCTTCGTTTTTGTTCTTATTTTATTTTTGTTCTTGTTTTATTTTTCTTCGATATATATTGTTTATAATTTTGATGTAATCAGATTTTGGGCTTTGCCTCGAGTTGCTAGAAATTATAATTCGCAATTCGATTTACTTTCAGAGATTTGTTTTTTTTTTTTTTTTTTAATTTATTTTTACATACTCACAAAAATCATTTAATTTAAATATATAGAAAGAATAAGCTGAACAATTGATGGTCTTCCCGATTTAATTTTCTTTTTCTTTTAAAATTTTATTTTGTGTCATATTTACATACTCTTTATATTATAATACATTGTATGTATATTAACTTTTGATATTTGTTCTAGAACTGCCACAGCACAAAGACAGTATGAATGTTCTAGGAAAATCAATCAAACCTACATTTGAAGAGCTACAAATTGATGAAAATGCCAAAAAAAGTGATGTTGTTCAGTTACAAGTCGTAGAGAAATTAGTAAGCCGTCTTTTTTTTTTTCGTTAATTGATTTTTTTTTATAATACAAAATGTAATGGTATTCTCGGCCAATTTGCAGGCGGACAATGATATTCTTGGTGTTTATTATGATTATCTCAAGCTCAAGGACATAAATGCCAGTGAATTATTGAAGTCAAGGCATATGGAAATAGATTATCTTCAATCTATTATTACCAAAGCCGGAAATGCATTATCTATTGAGCATATCAATAATCAGGTATGCATGGAAATTCTATTCTTTCTTTTGGATTAGAGAGAAAAAAGATTGTTTTTGCCTAAAAAGATTAAATTTTGCAGATATGTGACCTAGAAAATAAGATAAAACATGATGTTCTTGCATTGGAGGTAAGGAAAAAGCTCAAGCGTGAAATCTCTCGACTGAGCCAACGTCGCGAAAAATTATCTTCTTCTTCTTTCTTTGATATCAAAGACGAAGATGGAATCAGGCAGTATCGTGAAGTGAGAGACGAGGCCGAAGATTTTTTAAAGGTATACATACATACATACTTGATGTTATTTTTCGACAAAACTTGTTTGATTGTATCTATAAAACATACATACATTACGTATTAGAGCGGATAATGGATTTGCTATCTTGGTTTTGGTTTTGGTGTGTGCAGGTTGTTTCACGCAAGGAGCTTGATATATTGAATGAGAGTTCCATAAAAGCTAAAGCAGCTGTTACGGAATTCAAGAAAAAATGTGATGATGCTGCTGAACAAGTGGAAAAACTCCAAGCCAATTACATAGCTGCCTCTGATGTTTGCATAGAAGCAATTGCTATCAAGGATAATATGAAAAAAAAAATATTGTGACAAGGTAATCTCTCAATTAATACACCCTAGCCAACTTATTTTATCATGAGTATTTCTAACGTATTTTTAATCATTATTATGTGTGTGTATAAATATTCGAGGTACTAACTAGATGCAATAGTAATACAATTATTTATCCTACAAATGAGTTGCATTTTCTTGATGCTCCAGAATCAATGATGATCCTGATTAAATTTTTTTGAAAAATTTGTGTTGGTTAGTAGAAAAGGAAAACATATATGTCATATTTACTGTTCTCGTTAAAGTGAAACGGGAAATAAACTATGTATAGAATGTTCTATACAACTTAATGGTCCTCCATAAAAATACAAAGGAGCAATATAGAATCAATACCAGAAGGCTCATTTGAAGCTCTTGTTTTATATTTTTTTATCGCAGCAATCTGACCTGATTTTAATTTTTTTATTAATTACGTGATCAACATTATTTGGAGGGTGGATGTTTTTCTTGCTAATTAATAATTCTTTTTTTTTTTTTTGTTCCTTGTTAATTTGTCATAGTTTTTATTTATTATTATGGGTATGTGAGTACCTTAATTGAATGACTGAATTTGCAGATTGCATTGCTTGGCCACTGCTTGTCGGATGCATATGCATGATAATACTCAAACTTAAAGATTTGAGTTGATGTGTATTTCTCATTCATAGTACTATTATTCTATGATTAAGTACTATGATGATCTAAATCATGTATATAGGCATGAGGCCTACATCGAGTACACAAATTCAAGTTATAAACCTCATATATGTACTCGAAAAGATTATTCGTTGGTGATTCAATAATATGAAAAAAAATATATCACGAGGTTTGAAATTATCTTGAATGTTCAACAACAAAAAAAAACATGAGATATGGATCATTTAAGTTGAAGATCCATTTATGTGTCATGAAAACATAAACTATTTCATGTTGGTGATAATATATGTTTTGAAGTTACAAGCCATATATTTCATACTTAAATGTGGCTACAAGACACAAACAAAGTATTTTGTGCCATGAAAATACATATAAAAATTGGTGGCATGTGTCTTGCACAAACAAGTAAAAGTAACATAAATATAGTTACTTATGGAGATATAAGAGAATATTCTCCAATATATGTGACTTGAAATACTCCATCAAAATCCATGCTTTGGATATATTTTATGCTCGTGAAATAGCAACATAAGAACTAAAGTTGCTTTCATTGTAGCGAATCGAGAGAATATGAGGGCATATCGTATTTTAATACGAGTTGTGAGCTAAAATTAAAATATTATAAAAGCTCGTTCAAGTTTTGTTATTCCATGAAGTGGATATAACAAATATTCAATATTTGAAGAGATGTCCTTGAGACAAATAGATATTTTGGTGCTTATTATATTACATTTTCTCTATCATCATTTGAAGTGGAAGAGAGATGAGAAATATGAAAAATGATTGGTCATTTATCAATTTCACGATAAAGCATGTTGATAAGCTTTATGAAGCACCAACACAAAAGCAAAAGAAATTGCTTTGATTTTGGAGTCACGATATTGACCAATTCAATGACAGATTTTGAATCACAAAAGTAAAATGATGCAAATTCGATTCAAAATCCATGTTAGTGGAGGTATGTACGTAATTTTTTTATCATTGGTCTAGATGAGATGAAATTTCAAACCAAACGAAAAAAAGGGGATCTAATTTTCTTGTTAAAATTCCAAACCCTCTGCATATTCTGATTTTTCAAAATTAACAATTTACTCCTCAAAATTTTCAAAATTTTCATTACCGTCCTATGGATTTGAAAATTTTACGATTCAGTCCAAATATTTTTTTTAGAATATGCAGCTCGTTCCTCTCATCTGCAATTATGAATATATTTCAGCTTTTGCAGTTTTCACCGATTTTTTTAAAATTGCAGCCTTGTTCCTGAAGTTTTAAAAATTTACAGTTTGGTCCCTAAATTTTCAAAATTTACAGTTTGGTCCCTAAATTTTCAAAGTTTTGAAATTTGACCATTTATGTTTAGAATCGGTTAGATTCTCAAATGAAGTTATATTCAGCCACATAACATGATATCACGTGGTTTGTTTATAATTTATGCTATGCAATATTTTGCACCCCTATTGGGAGATATTTCTATGGCATACATTGTCAATTGCCATTTTAATGAGACAGTTTTCCGCCGTTAAGGGGGAGATAAAGAAACCGGTTCTTGTATAACGGCGTGAATTATATGAAATGATCTTTGTCTCATCTGAATTTGTGCATGGAAATATTTAAGCACAAAAGAAAAAAAAAAATCAATTGCAACAATATTAATGTGCAAAATGCTAGATGCATTTATAGATAAAATGGCAACTTGATATTATAATATATGTTGCAAATAAGTGCAAGAGAAAATGTCTAAAAAGGACACATTGCACAATAGATTTTGCCATGAAAGGCTTAATAAACGAATGTCCTGGAAGGACAAATTTCACATTGTGATTGCATCGTGAATCCCTAAATGGGTGAAAAATGATTATGGTACACAACTAACCAATCTTAATTTATGCATATAAGAGGGGGAGATATATATGTTTGTTCGAATGATTAACACACTTATAAGTGGTGTGAATACCGTTCAATTAAAGTCTACTAGCGCTAGTAGCATCATACTCTCATCATATTACTTATCTCATTCATGAAAGGATTCGTCTTAAAGACGATGTTGGGGGACGCCTCAACACCAATATCCATAACTATGATATGAGAATACTTGCCAGTTATGGTGGCATAAATGAAATTCATATTTGGATGATAAAATCATTGATGATTACATGGTAGCTACCGAGATCATTTTAAATCGAACCATTATGTGCCAATAAAGAGTTGATTGGCAAATAAATCATGGTTAGCTTGCTCTCTAAGTGAATAGAGAGGCAGTTGAGACATTAGTTCTCAATTTTGTTGTTGTACCGATATAAAGAAAAAGAATTGAAAATTCTTTTCGAATGAATATTCATGTACCAAATTGAATTTGATAATATTGAGTTTGAAAATAAAGTGGACAAGTAGTCCTCAATACTCCCTCCACATTGTGAAACTCAAAAGCGCGCGTTTTGTCCATGTAGGACATTTTTATTGAAATAAATAATGAGCTCACGCAAATAAAGTATTATGAAAAACTTTATTGATGCAATATAGAAAATTCTCTATAAGAGAAAAATACATGGTACATGAAAAGATATTGATCTCTACAAGAGATCGTACCCACAAAGGCTACAATCCCCATTCATATTAATATAATTCTCTAAGGAGAATCCGGTACCGGAAAGTGAAATAGTGAGCTCTTGATTGATTATAAAGAAATATGGGGAGTACTAAAAATGTTATCGAATAACTATATGTACAATTATTTTTATAATGTGAAGAGCTTGAAGCTCATACATTTTTATAGATGTCGACATCTAATTGGTCATTAGTATATGCATTCACAAATGCAATTGACCAAGATTATTTGAAAATATTGATGAAATCAATTGTACATTGACTTGCAGTCATCACACAGAAAGTTGTGAAAGCCTTTAGTACAAAAGTGGGTAAAATCATTGCGGTAAATTTGAATGTCTTTTGAAAATATATTTTTATGATGCAATCACTTTATGATGGTATTCAAAATACTTGACATGCATCATATGGATGCTATTACAATTACCGCATATCTATATGGATCATAAAATCAATAAAGAATTGAAAATGCTTGAAGCATATAATAAGATGTCTCATGAGTTAGACTCTACGAATGATCCATTTTCAAGAATATGGTATTATCACCTTAGTGAATACCTTGTTTACAAAAGGAATAATCAAGTAAATTTATCACTATTATCATTTGAGGTGACTTAAATCTTGTGGAGACTCTAATGTCTCATGTCGAAGTCAGGGGGAGCGTTATCAATAGTTCCAACACTGTACTATTTTTCCTTCGTTCAAGTTTTTGTCCCATTGGGTTTTTCTTGGCAAGGTTTTAACGAGGCAGTGTCACGCTCACAAGCTTCATATGGATATGTACTCTTTTTTCTTCGTTTAAGTTTTGTCCCATCGGGTTTTCCTAACAAGGTTTTAACGAGGCATATTCCATAAATGGTGGACATCCAAGGGGGAGTATTATGAATTCTTGGAGGTTATGGATGACCACCATTACACTCTCCATTAAACCTATTTACCTCCACCATTATTCATCATTAAAAGTGTTGTAACTCTTGACCTTTGAGAGGTCTTTCTTGTACTATATATACAACACAATGTAAATGTATTTTATACACAACAAGAAGAAGAGAAATACATATTGCATTCTCTCTATTTACTCTCTTATGTTCTCTTTGTTATGTTGTCTTCTTCTTCATTTTCTAACAAAAAAATCCTTACTCACTCGTGTATAAAAGTAACAAAAGTATTTCAATTATTGAATTAACTAATTAATTAAAACAGTAGAGTTAAAACCTATAAAAAAATTATGAATACAAACATATAAATAGCGAAAAAGAAAGGGGCAAATTACGGCACCCCCTAAGGTATGGTCAAATTACGAAAAAAACCCTCTTATTTTGGTAATTACAGCCACCCCCTCCTTTTAAATATTTTTACATAAATTTATGTAATTGGGTTATTTATCGAACCAAATCGTATATTTAGTTCGGTAAACGGTACGAAATGTTGGCGTACCGAAAATTCAGTTCGGTTTTACCGAATTAGCATCCCTAAATTTACCTCTGAATTGATCTTTTCGTAAGAAAATACATAGTTGAGGGGTGGTTGTAATTACTCAAACAAGAAGGGGGGTTTCGTAATTTAACCATAGCTCAATAGCTCAAGGGGTGGCCGTAATTTGCCCAAAAGAAATAGAATAAAATATACAATATTTTTGAACTAATGGATCCTTGATCTTTACACACAATAGTATTCAACTGAGAAAGAAAATATAACAATAAGAAATTAATGGCAATTAAATATGTAAAATGATGACCAAAAAAAATAATTTAAAAAAATGAAGAATTCGAACAATACATCTTTGGAGTGAAACTTAGTGGTAGAATGAAGTGAAGATTAAGGGGTTTATATATTAATTTCGTTGAATTTCGCTTCTTGTTTGCTGAACAACGCAGCACGATTTACCTCTTGCCTAGTAGGTAGGATAGGTGATTCATAATCAGGGTCAACTAAACAGCCGTCTAAACTCCCGAATCTATACATTGTACTGCTTTCATTGAATTCGGCATACTGTCTACGCAATACCTCGTCTTTGTTCCACCGTGTCATAAAATTTTCCACCTATAATACATACAACAATACTTGATAATTAATATAAATTTTTTTGAGAGACTCGTTCAACTTAAACAAAACCTTATGAAAAAAATTTAATAATAACTTACACTTGTCCTGCAGTAACGGGAATTATTAGCAAGATAAACAACAACCCAATAATGTTGATCACTGTATAATAAGATTTTTAAATCAGGTAGAGATTAAATTTGTATATATACAAGGTTTTGTGCATAGTGTATTTCCCGATTCACTTTCTGAATACGATAAATATGACATCAGTTTTCCTACATTAGACATACTCGTATATAATAAAATAAGTTAGGTAGGGTGTATTCATGAGAGATTTACCCTGTCACGAAATTCATTTTTCATATTCTCCTTCTTAGCAATTGCCGCGCTGCAATCATTACAAGCATCTCTGTACTCGGCTTTGATTTTTTCTACTTGTTCATTGTCATCTTCATATTTCTACTTTAACTCAATAAAAGCTGCTTTAGCTTTTACGGAACTGTCAGTCAGTACATCAAAGCTCCTTCCGTACAATCTGCGAGAAAAATGAATTATGTCAAATACACAAATAAAAAAATTAATAAACGTATATAATATGCACCCAATTTGTTACGCACAAATCCAGCCAACCATCTAATACGAACTATAAACAGCACCATAAAAAATCCATTGGCGAAAAGTAATATCACGTATGTATATACCTTTATAAATTCTTCATATGTATATACCTTTATAAACGCTTCAGCCTCCTCTCTCACTTTAATTAACTGTTTATCAGCGCAAGAAGAAGATATTTTTTTGGAAAGTCGCTCCAGTCGATTGATTTCACACATGAAATTATTGAAATGATTTTGAACAAGAGCAAGATGACCTTCTTCTAGACTTGGAAGACGTACCAAAGAAGGCATGTGATCGTAAGGTATGCAAAATATTTATTTGGTTACTACGAGTGATGTAAATCTAATGCCATCAGTTATGTATTTACTGCAAAATTCACTTCCAGATCAATGAATTTGTCAAAAGGGCTAGATCCGCCAAGATCCATTCCTACATCATTAGCCAGTTCATGAAAGATATGCCGCCTTTAGTATGCAAAGCGAAAGCCAAGAAAAAACTGATCCATGATCTTGAAAAACTTTTTGCAAAGGTACTCTTTTCTTGCCACGCTTTGGGAAATATTTAGTGCTGCACAATGACACATACTGATTGACTATAACATTGATACCAAGCGTGGAGCAGTTTAGGGAAGTCCTGAACCGCCATAACTTTGCTGATTTTGGGAAGCTGGATCTAAAAATGATTCTGTTGATGAAATGCTCAGCAATGATATTCCCCAGCTGCTGAAAAAGTTTCAGAATTTGTATGGATAAAGTAAGTACTTAGTATATATACTTCTATGGTGTTGCTTGTTTCCCCCTTCTTCAT